ATACTTCAACAAGAACCTTTATTGATTCAATGTAAGTTATATATTTGATATTCTGTAAGGAATAGCTAACTTACTAGGTTATATAGGTGTCACAATGAAAAGTCCAGAAATCTAACTAAATAAAATTTCAAGTTTTTCTTTTTTTTTACTCACATTATCACCTATGTGATATATTTAACATATGGTACAAATTGATCTAATATAGATATATTAAGTTTGAATATACTTTTTTAAGTTATAGTATATGGAAAAAAAAGAGAATATCAAAACAACTTACCAAGAATCAATGAATCTACCTGGTCACATTGTACAATTGATGCAATAATAAAGTTTATTGAAGCTAATATGGAGGAGGTTCTTTTTATTCGATGGTAATTGTATAAAATAACATCGTATATATTTTACATCAAATTGCATTTTATAAATAAATTTGTTTAGGGATCATGCTGTAAGTCATACATCTGCTAATAAAAATAATGCTAATAGCGATAGGCCTATCAAGAAAGCTAATGTATTTGGCACTTACTACTGCGAAAGTTTGCGATATAATGTTGAACTATTTTTTGGAGAAATTTCTGGGCCTCCTTTTTATTTGAATAGTTCTGGAAAATCTCATGCCATTGAAAACCAAATCAAGTTGGGAAAATGTGGAAAAGACTCACTTGAAGACTTTCGTAGATATTGCAAAAAAAACAAGGAACTTGTTGAGTTTAAAAATATTAATATTTTTTTGATGCACGCTCATGGTTAGTAAATTTGTATTGTCTAGATTGTTTTTCTTTAATAGTTAGTAATGATTATTGTAATTTCAGAAACAATTATTAAATTTTCAATTATGGATCAAAAATTGTATCCATTATTTCAAATAAGAACTTTGGAGTAAGTCGCATTTCCTTACAAATATAATTCAATATTTGCACAGGTGCAATCATTAATTGAGATCATGTATACATATAAAATGTTAATTAAAAGCGATCTAGAAATTTTAAATTCATTGGATAAGAAATTTTACAGGATAGATAAAGATAGTGAGGAAAGCAATTTCAAGAATGATGATAGTTGTAGCAATGAAGAGGAAAGTTGTAGTAGAGAGGAAGAAGAGACTAAAGATAAATATCGTAATAAATTTGAAGAGATTAGTAGTGATGAAGAAGAGGATAGTG